ACGACACGGGGACAGGCGGAGCTCTGCAGAGCCGGTGACTCATTTCCCTGCACCACCAGGCCATGAGACAACACCTGCAGTGCGTGTGTACACGCGTGTGTACCCCCGAACCCTGCACCACCGCGGGCCCCATTGCAGGCGGGGTAGGGGGGTTCCTTAGGGTGGTTTTGGGGTGCGACGGGGGGTCCTAAAGGGTGTTGCTGGGGTCTGAGAGGGGGTTGTGTAGGGTGCCTATGGGGCTGTTGGAGGCAGCTGGGGGGTGTTTGTGGGGGTGTAGGGAGGGTACGGGGGAACCCAGGAGGTGTTGGGGGCCCAACGGGTGTTTGTGGGGGTGTAGGGAACCCACAAGCCAACCTAGGGGGTACCTGTGGCCCAAAGGGTCCTTGTAGGGCTGTAGGGAGAGCACGGGTGAACCCAGAGGGTGTAGGGGGCCCATGGGGTGTTTATRGGGTTGTAGGGAGCCCACAGGCCAACCTAGGGGGTGTTGGGGGGCCCCAAAATGAGGAGGCTGTAGGGGAACCTGGCAAGGGTGGGAGGTGCAGGGGTGTTGGGGACCCCCAGGGTGTCTGTGAGGGTAGGGGGAGGAGGGAATGGAGCTCGGAGGGTGTTGGGGGCCCATGGGGTGTTTCCAGGAGGTCTAGGGGGTCCACAGGGCATCCTATGGGTGTTGGGGGCCCATGGGGTGTTTCCAGGAGGTCTAGGGGGTCCACAGGGCATCCTATGGGTGTTGGGGGTCCATGGGGTGTTTCCAGGAGGTCTAGGGGGTCCACAGGGCAACCTAGGGGTGTTGAAGCCCATGGGGTCTTCCTAAGAGGTCTCGGTGACCCATAGGGCAACCTAGGGGTGCTGGAGGACCCTCAGGGTGTTTCTAGGAGGTCTCGGTGACCCATAGGACAACCTAAGGGTCACCTAGTGCTGTTGAGGGCCCACGGGGTGTTTCTAGGAAGCTTAGGGGGTCCAAAGGGCAACCTAAGGGTGTTGGGGGTCCAAAGGGCAACCTAGGGGTGTCTGGGTTCCATGAGGCATTTCCAGAAGGTCTAGGGGCTCCACAGGGCAACCTAGGGGTGTTGAAGCCCATGGGGTCTTCCTAAGAGGTCTCGGTGACCCATAGGGCAACCTAGGGGTGCTGGGGGTCCATAGGACAACCTAGGGGTGCTGGGGGTCCACAGGGCAATCTAGGGGTGTTGAGGTCCCATAGGGTCTTTGTAAGAAGTCTCGGTGACCCACAGGGCAACCCAAGGGCCACCTGGGGGTGCTGAGGTCCCATGGGTGTTTCTGGAAGCTCGACCCATGGTGACCCAGGTGGTCACCTCGGGGTGTAGGGACCCCACCGGGTGTTCCCGGGGGGGGGGGTGTTTCTGGAGAGGGGTCCCCCACCTCCTGCAGCAGGTCGGCCTGCTCGATGGCCTTGAGGACGCTCTTCTTGGACGTGTCCTGGATCTCGCCGCCCATGACGAACTCGTCCAGGATGAAATAGGCCTTCTCGAAGTTGAAGATGATGTCGAGCTCACACACCTGCAACGGCAGGACACGTCACCCTCGCGGGGCCCCGGCGTCCGGGACCTTCCCAACACCCCCCCGCATCCCTCCGCTTCCCGGTCCAGCCGGATAATCCCCGCTAAGAGGCTCCCGGTGGGATTAGCTGAGGGATCAGCTGGGATTAAGGCGCCCTARGGTGGCCCGTGGCCAGGTTTGTCCTCCTCCTGCTCCTTCATGGTGGGTGGCCCTGGTGAAGGGGGTGGCAGCCACTGAAGGGCCCCTGGGTGGCTCTTTATGAGGGGGTGGCACCTACAGAGGTGGCTTTGGGGTGGCCTGGCACCCATGACAAAGCCCCAGGGTGGCCCGGGACCCCTAATTTAGCCTCAGGGTGGTCTAGAGTGGTCCTAAGGTGGCCCAGCACCCATGATATAAACCCCAGGGTGGCCCTAGGGTGGCCCAGCACCCATGACATCATCCCAGGGTGATTTACAGAGGTCCCAGGGTGACCCAGACATTGTCCTAGGGTGACCCAGCACCCATGACACAACCCCAGGGTGGTCTAGAGTGGCCCCAGGGTGGCCCAGCACCCATGACACAACCCCAGGGTGGTCTAGAGTGGCCCTAGGGTGGCCCAGCACCCATAATGCAACCCCAAGGGGGTCCTAGGGTGACCCAGCACCCAGGACATCATCGCAGGGTGTCCAGAACAGCCCTAGGGTGACCCAAACATAGACCTAGGGTGGCCCTAGGGTGACCCAGCACCCATGACACAACCCCAGGGTGGTCTAGAGGGGCCCTAGGGTGGCCCAGCACCCATAATATAACCCCAGGCTGGCCCTAGGGTGACCCAGCACCCATGACATCAACCCAAGGTGTCTAGAATGGCCCTAGGGTGACGCAAGACATAGACCTAGGGTGGCCCTAGGGTGGCCCAGCACCCATGACACAACCCCAGGGTGGTCTAGAGTGGTCTCAGGGTGGCCCAGCACCCATAATGTAGCCCCAGAGTGGCTCTAGGGTGACCCAGCACCCATAATGTAGCCCCAGGGTGGTCCTAGCGTGGCCCAGCACCCAGGACATCATCCAAAGCTG